ACCGTAATTCAATTCAACTTCAAAAAGTAATACATAGATAACATCTCTTAAAATGTGTACATTTTTTTTGGCACCCCTGGTATATGTTTAAGGAAAATATATATATATATATATATATATATATATATATATTTTTTTTTTTTGAAATTCTGAGAGCTTCCAGAGTTTTGTTTTTAGATAATGATCAAATAATTTGAATTTCCTGCCGATGACACTTATGACTGATGATGTTTTATAAGAAGAACTATTCCTTTCTTCTAGAAGTTCTGAGAAAGGATACCATTGACATATTTCTTAGGAATGTGATAAAATTGCAGCATGAATGGGTTAGGTTTCCACATTAAGTTACATTATTAGAAAGCAGAACTACTAATACCGATACGCTGAGGCTTAAACACTATAGAAGAAAGAAATGTTTTATGCCCTCTAGGAACTTAATATGGAAAAAAACCCCCTCAAAATCCTAAATAGATTTTTAGTGGCCAAGAGGTACTAAGATTGGTGCTCAGTTAGTTATATGCTGGGGATGGGGAGGCGGGGGGAGTGAGGGACAGGGATGAGTGGGGAGCGTGTAAATCCATGCCTTCTGTTTTATTAGGGAGGATTTTCACAAGACTTGTATGATATAGACTGTTTGGTGGTGCACCCCTCCCCCCTAGGCCTGTAGTACCCTAGGACGCTTTGCTAAAATTAAGACTGTCCTGCAGATGGAGGAACTGGAGCAAGGCCTGTTGAAGCAGTCATGGGCATGGTTACAGCTTGCCGAGAACTCCCTCTTGGCCAAGGCTTATATCACCAAGCAGGGCTATGCCTTGCTGATTTCAGATCTTCAAGAGGTGTGGCATGAACAGGTGGACACTAGTGTGGTCAGCCAGCGAGCCAAGGTAGGTGTGAAGAGAAATACTACTGTGGGGTGGTAGTGGATATAATTTCTTTCCTAGTGGAGGTCTGGGGACATTAACATCAACCAGCTTGCTGGCCCGTCAGCTTCCAAGGAAGGTTGAATCAGGTTGAGACAATTCCAATTAATGTCCTGCACTTCTGCCTACAGCCCTGGGATCTTTCTATTTGTGTGTGTGTGTGTGCGCGTGTGTGTGTGTGTGTGTGTGTGTGTGTGTGTGTGATTTTCTGTACTGCATACAGTAAAGGCAGAATTGTGAACTAGGCCAGTTGATCTCTTTGTTTTCTTCTTTTCTGTTCTGATGTTTTGTTTTGTTTTAAAGATCTTATTGGGGAATTGAGGGAGGGGAACAGTGTTGGGGAAATGGGGAAGGACAACAGACAAGTTGGTGTCCTTTATTCTTCAGTCTAGTTGTGGAGGATGTTGCTTCACTGGCCCATGTTGGTATTATCATTGCACTCTTCCTGGCTGAGGCAGATCGGTTGCCGGCCATTGGACGGCTGCTCATGGAGCCTCTTGGCCGCTCACGCTGGCTGCTGGCTACACACGGTAGCCCATGGCAACCCATTGCAGCAGGGGCTGCAGCCTACGCCGACGCTGGCGACTCACAGCAGCCCAGCTCCAGGTTGAGCTGTTGTTCACCATCTTAGCTGTAGAGGGCACAGCGTCACTGGCCCTCATGTGGGATCCGAACCCTGGACCCTGCTGCTCAGAGCTGGCATCCCAAGTCAACTCTTAACCAACGCACCACTCGGCCGGCCCCAGTTCTGATGTTTTTATCTCCCCTTCCCTTTTTCTCATGCCCACTGTCTTCATGTTAACCAGGGTTTTCCTTGGCTGCTACTTGTGAAAGAGCCAGTTTCCTTTTAGCACCCTTGCTCTGTATTACTCCTGCTTTCTTTTTAGGAGCTGAACAAGCGCCTGACTGCTCCCCCTGAGGCCTTTCTCTGTCATTTGGATGACCTGCTTCGCCCACTGTTTAAGGACATTGCTTGCTCTGGCAAAGCGACCTTCTCCTGTGATCGTGTGGCAGAGGCATTGATATTACGGGTGCGAAGTGAACTCTCTGGTCTCCCCTTCTATTGGAATTTCCACTGCATCCTAGCTAGCCCTTCCCTGGTAAGTGCAATTCGAATATGGGGTAGGGAAGGGGACTGCCAGCTTCTTTGAGATGAAGCTTTAGGTGCTCTTATTTTTTTTTGTAAACTCCATTTGAAATTCTCCAATTAGAAAACTTTTCTTGACTAGATAGAAGGCAAAAGGATTCTTGACTGGTAAATCCTTTTCTTACAAAAGGAGCAGAGTTCTACATACTTTACTGGGTGTCTTTATTTATTACTTTATATATTCAAAATTTATTAAGTATCTTCTATGGGCCAGTTGTTGGGTGTCCAGATCTAAAATAATATAGCCTGTTTCTGGAGTTCATAATCTAGTGAGAAGACAGACAGGAAACAGAACGAGAAGACAGGAAACAGGATAAAGTGTGTAAATTATTTGATTGAGGTAAGTCCAGGATGATTGAGGATCTGAAAAACCATTTTATATATATATATGCGGTGTGATAAAAAAACAGGGTGAATGCAGCTGTTGAGTGCCGTCCAATGGAAAGGCAGGGATCTTCAATATGGGAAATTGTGCGTTGAACCTTAGTAACAGTGTGTGACATGTGACAAGTTTCATTTTGTTCGGTGCAGTCATTCAGGTGTGAGCTACAGTTGAGAGAAGGTGTGTTTTAAAGTGTGCCATAAATCATGGATCACGAACAATGCATTAACATAAAATGGGCAAACGGTTTCATCGTCCCTCATGACAATGCTCCGCTCTGTGTCACACATCGCTCTGGTATACGGCAATTTCTGAAAGGTAAACATTTTGAATTGATTCAGGACATGGAGGCAGCCACAACAGCGCAACTAAAGACACTCACTAAATAGGACTTCCAGAATTGCTTCAGAAAGTGGCAAGAACGATGGGATAAGTATGTTCAAAGTGAGGGGGAATATTTTGAGAGAGATTAATGGAAATATGTCTTTTACTGTAATAAATTATTTAAACGTTCACCATAGTTTTTGATCATATCTCATCATGTATATAAGAGGTTGGACAATTAAGTTTGTGAACTTATTGCAACGATGTTGCTAACCTTTTTTTGATATCAGAGGGATTATTCATTATGAATTTGTACCAACTGGACATATAGTTAACCAAGTTTACTATTTGGAAGTGCTGAAAAGGCTGCTTGAAAAAGTTATATCACCTGAACTTTTTGCCAACAATTCATGGCTCTTGCATCACAACAATGCACCAGCTCACATGGCACTGTCTGTGAGGGAGTTTTTAGCCAGTAAACAAATAACTGTATTGGAACACCCTCCCTATTCACCTGATTTGGCTCCGATGACTTCTTTCTTTACCAGAAGATAAAGGAAATATTGAAAGAAAGACATTTCGATGACATTCCGGACATCAAAGGTAATACGATGATAGCTCTGATGCCCATTTCAGAAAAAGAGTTCCAGAATTGCTTTGAAGGGTGGACTAGGTGCATAGCTTCCCAAGGGGAGTATTTTGAAGGTGACCATAGTGCTATTCAGCAATGAGGTATGTAACACTTTTTCTAGGATGAGTTCACGAACTTAATTGTCTGACCTCTTATGTATACTATATGATAGTTTGTGAGCTGAGTTTTGAAGATTAGTAGGAACTAATTGGGTGAACTTTGTGACTGCAGGCAGTTGAGAAAAATGAAGTAGGCAGTGGACAGACCTTGAAGGATTATAATGAGTTTGGATTTTATCCCAAAGGCAACAGGGATTCATTGAAAAACTTTAAGCAGGGTTTTAACATGATCCAATTTGTAATTTATCAAGATTACTCTGCCTACAGGGTAGAATATATACCAGTATTAGGTACCTTTCTGGATATTATTTCGTCATTTAATCCTCACAATTGTCCTGCAAGATAAGTATTATTTTCCCAGTTTTTCAGAGTAGGAAACTGATATTGAAGGTAATTTGTCCAAAGTCATCAGCTTAAAAATAAATGAACCGGAATTTGACTTGCAGATAGGTCTGATTCGAGAGCCCATTTTTAGGGACTAGGAGGATAATGTCCCCTGCTTACTTGTAGCTTTCTAGGCCCCGAGAGCTTTTATTAGATATTAGAGAGTTAAGAGTGGACATTAAAAATTAGTTTATAGGAGGGCTGGCCGAGTGGCACGTTGGTTAGGAGTTGGAATTGGGACACCAGCTCTGAGCAGCAGGGCCCTGGTTCAGATCCCACATGAGGGCCAGTGATGCTGTGCCCTCTGCAGCTAAGATGGTGAACAACAGCTCAACCTGGAGGTGGGCTGCCGTGAGTCGCCAGCAATGGCGTAGGATGCAGTGGAGCTGGCCAGCAGCGGGCGTGAGCTTTCATGAGCCACTGTGAGCTGCCGTGAACGGCTGTCCAATGGCTGTTGAGTGACTGCCTCATCCGGGAAGAGTGCAATGATCATAATACCGACATGGGCCAGTGAAGCGACATCCTCCACAACTAGACTGAAGAAAAAAGGACAGCAACTTTTCTGTTACTCTTCCCCGATTCCCCAACGCTGTTCCACTCCCCCAATTCCCCAATAAAATAAAAAAATCTTAAAAAAAAAATTAGTTTGTAGGAATTACTTGCCACTGGTCCCTTCCATACTTCTATATAAACAGAGCTTGTTTTAGTCAGTATCATTAGAGGATGGGGCCTTCTATGCAAGGCCTAAGGATGTAGATTTATTAGCACAGAGATGTGACAAGTGGGCATCATTTCCTGTCTCCCTTCTTTAGCCTCCCAGAGGTGATGTGGTGCTTTGGTATCAATAGGGTGGATGGAACAAAGTGCTTTTTGAAAAACTGTTCTCTGGTGTTTCTTTTTGATCTGGCACCCAGTAAAGCTAACCTTGAGTGCTTGGAGAACTACATCTCATTCATTTTTGAATTTCTAAGGCCCATTGATAGGGCTTAGCGGATAATAGTCACTCATGTTTGTTGACTTTAATTGAATTTCTTGTGAAATTTTCTATCCTGCTTTACATAGAGAATTTAGTTATTTTGTTCAAAACCCCTGTAACTTTTTCTAAGTAACACCAGGGGGCAATGTTCCCTCAATAATGCTTGTTCTGGGACCAACACATTTGGGCCACCTTTGGGAAGCCCAAGTGATAGCCAGTCTCATTTTGCATCACACAGTCTAGAAACGCAGAATAGTGAGATTGGGGATGCAGTTTTCTTTGGAGGCCGATGGACTCTAATAGTTTTTTTCTTTCAAAAGACTATATAGTACAGAACACTTGTATAATGATATTACAACGGAAAATAACGTGTAAAGAAAAAACTAGCTATTCTAGATAAATTCTTCTAATTGAGGAGTGGCAGTAAGAGAGGAAACAACAGTGTTTAGAGTGGAATGAGTCTTGGTTGGCCGTGGGCAGAAGTGAGCATTGACCAACTGATGAACGATTATGCTTTAAGGCAAAGTAAAATATTTATTTTTACAAGAAGACGAATGCCATCCCAGGGAAATCACTGAACCTGAGGAAGCTTTATAGGGAAAAAGTGAGAGCAAGTGGCCACTGGCAAGGACGTAGGCGGATACTATTTCAGGCTTGTGTGTGTCTGTGAGGTCACATAGTCATACTTTTTGTTTGTTACTCATTCTTGTGATAGTTTTTATTTAAATTTTTTTTGAATGAGTAAGTCATTCAAAAGGAAAACATTTCAGACAACATTATAGTGAAAATATAGATCTTTCTACCCCGTTTTTCCAATCCCCGTTTTTCCAAACCAAAAAATTGGTTTTTCCAATTTTCCTTCTCTAAAGCAACTACTGATATCAGCTTCTTGCAAATTCTTAAAGAAAGCTATATATAGGTATGTGTAGATGTACACATGTGTATACTCATGTAATCAAATATATAGCTGATACATAGCTGATACATATATATGTATGTATTTTCACAATATGTATTTCACAAATGGCAGCACACTATTCATACTAGTCAGTACCTTGCTTTTTTTTCACTTAATTATAGAACTTAGAAATCATTCATAGCAATGCATTTGGAAGACCTGCCTTATTCTTTTTTTAATAGCAGCATAGCATTTTATTTAATGAATATATCAACATGTATTTAATTGATATGCTACTAGTAGATACTTAACTTGTTTCCATTCTTTTGTTGTCATAGGTAGTAAATATTCTTGAATTTACTTTTTCTATTTGCAAATGTGTGGGTAAATTCCTAGAAGTGGAATAGCTGAATCAAGGAATATTTGCATCTTTAATCTCGCTAACATAATGCCAAATTGGTTTCCATAGAGATTATGCAGCTTAACTCTTGCTAATCATACAGGAGAGTATAGGAGAACCTGTTTCCCCACATCCTCTACAACATAGTGTATTCACATTAATAATTTAATAGTTCTTAAGTCTCTGCAAGATATTATGAAATATATAATAAAAAGCTTTGGGTCTCTGCTTTCTAACACTGAGCCCATTTCCGCTTCTGGTCATCTTCTCTTCATCTCCTCCTCCCTTCCCACTGTGTATTCTTTCTGTATCTCATATAATTCTTTTAGTTGTTGTTATACATTTTTTTCTAATGTAATTTTTGATAGTCCATATTTTGACTTCCAAATTTGTCACCTCTTTGGCCATCTTATAATTCCTAGGACTCACATGAAAAGGTGAGTTTTTGTTTTGTTTTGGTTTTTGTTTTGTGGTAGAAAGAGTAAAGAGCACAGGCTTTGGAACCAGCAGACCTGAAGTTGTAACCCAGCTCCACCACTTTGACTACTTATATTGCCTTGGATAAGTTGCTGAATTTTTATGAGACTTGCTTTCTTCATCTGTAAAATGGAGATACCAGTCATAGCCTTCCTGTGGAGTTGTAAGGATGAAATATGTAAAGGTTACATATGCAATATTACTTACCCTTAGCATTATAGTGGACCTGTAAGAGCAAATACTCCAATGCCATAATTTTTCTTTTTAGAAAACATTAGGACCATGAGAGTAGTTGGGACTGAGCCATTTTTACATCTAGGTACTGTCAGAGCCAGGACTAGAATCTAGGTCTTCTAATTCCCAGCCTGTTAGCCTTTTCACGATATCCAGACCTGATACGATGCATCTTGGGATCGATAACTGCCATTGTGCTCTCCTGCCTATGACTTGTGAACATTTCCATGGGAAATCTGAAGACATTGCAGGAAATTATAAATAGCTTTTCCTCTGGAGCAGACTGCCAACTCCTGCTTCTATATCCACTGCACTTCCTGACCTTAACTCTTGAGCTCTTTGAGGGCAGAGGCCTCGTAGGGTCAGAACATGTATTAGGCACACGGTAGGTATCTGTTGAATTGACTTGTTGAACTGCTTCTCTTCATATACTGCTGTCTGTAAATGAAGTGGGGGTGGGGTGGGTGTGTCCCTGACTTCCAAAAACACTTCAAGATTTTTCCTTGTAGTGTCTGTGGATTTGCTTTGAAATCCATTCCTTCAGCCACAATGCCTTGTTCTAATTAACTGATCTAAGTTAGTGTTCATCTAACTTTGAAGTGAGTTATACCCCAATGATTCAGAGTGATGTAACCCAATCCTATGAAATAGTTTAGAAGTTAAAATATTTACGGATAAAAAGCTTTTTTTTGGTTTTTTTTCTTCTTTGCTCTGTAGACATTGGAGTCCAGTAGGTAATTTCAGGTGCCTGGTATGGCATTGCCATATTTAATTAGACATGGCATTGATTAAAAACTGTTTTTCATTGTGTTTTGTGTTATATTGACTACCACTCAAAGAAATTGCTGTTAAGGGGGCCTCCTAGAGAGAGACTGGTTAATTAACTCGAGTTTCTATTATTTTGAGAATGGATGGTGATGCCGCTTCATTAGTAAAGACAATTTCTGTCAACCCACCAAACGTTGACTTGCTTTGATACATGTGTTCACCTGTTTTTCCTCCTTATCTACCTTGAACAGGACCAAAGTTACCAAAAACAATTCCTAGGAAAGAGGATTGGGTCTAGAGCAGATAAATTTTCCCAAAAGAGAATTTCTGCCACATTCAGAACAGTCCTTCCTGGAGGCTTGTGTTCATATTAAGGATCTGAGCTGGGCGACAGTACCAGGTTGGGCTGTGCTGTGTGATGGAAAGCTGTGGCTGGTATCTAGCTAGGGCTGGACTTCACTTTGCTCCAGTGCTCCTGCATTTCTTGGGTCCTGGTGCTGGTACAAAAGCTGCTGCCGCTAACCCCTAATCTCCTCCCCCCAACCATTAGAGAAATGTGGGAAAAAGTCTTTTCCTCTCAGTTTGAGCCACAATACAATCGGAACTTTTAGTAAGTCTTACTAGAAAGTTAATGGAAGATGAAAACACAAAAATTCTCGAGCTCAGACTTCTGATCCTGATCGAGATGATTCTGGCTTGCACACCTTCTAGGACACTCCGTAGCACTTCCTCATGTCAAGCCTCTGTGGGGTATCTTGTCTAATAGTTTTCCCTGTGGATAAATTTAGCGCCGGCGTTGGTGTACTATGGCCAGCAGGCCAACTCTGGCTTGCTGCCTATTTTTGTAAGTTTTATTGGAACCCAGCCACTCTCATTTATTACATGTTGTCCATGGCTGTTTTCATGCTACAACAGCAGAGGTGAGTATTGCGACAGGGCCTGTATGGGCCACAGAACCGAAAATATTGACTTTCTGGCCCTTACAGAAACAGTTTGCTGACCTCTGGTCTAGGGCATTTCTTCTTAGTGCCTCCTTCAGCTCATCTGCTTGGAGGAAGGGAAAGAATCTCTGATAACATCCTGAGGCACAAATAGATTATTGATTTTAGTTCTTTTCTTTGACTAAGGCTTTCATCTTTTGAAGGCTAAAGGACACCTTGCATAGGAGAATTAAATGATTATTTTGTATAGCTGTACATTAGCATATGAGAACATGACCATAGCTGCACTGCAGTATGGCTATGCTTGCAACCTTCTTACCTCTTTTTAAGAGCAAGGTGTGTGTGGGTGGTTAAATCTTCCTAGGTTGGTCCTTGGTGACTGGCTTGTCTCTGTTACAACAGTGTCCTTAGACTTTGTTGCATTTGTGGGAACAGTTGAAACTCAGGGCTTGTTCTGGGCTATCATATGCCCTGAAATGGCTCTTCATTAGTGTCTGGGCCTAATTCGACTTTGAAACCGCTCTACTTTCTGTGGATTTTTGTCTTCTGTTATACTCCAGCTAGCACACTCTATTGTAGCCACACCTAAACTGTCTTGAAGTTTCCTTGAATCTTCTGCTTTTGTCCCTCAGTCTCTGCTGAGAGTTAACACTTTCCTCTTATCAGCAGTATCACATCCTTCTCTTTAAATCACAGCTCTAGGTTATCTATTCATGAGTATTCTCCTTTATTCTTCTCCTTTTATCTTTGCCACAAAGAAAATCCTTGAACTTCTTTAAAGTATGTATTTAACAATTATATTTGTGTTTATATTCATATAAATGGATTGCTTATCTATGAAAACATTTATTCTTCACTACTTTTTCTGGTTCCTAATACAGCATTAGAGAATATTTTGTAAGTATCTTTTGGCTAATTGATATCTCTTCCATGAAAGGTCTCCCAACATTTGATCCGTCCTCTGATGGGCATGAGTCTGGCATTGCAGTGCCAAGTGAGGGATCTCGCAACCTTGCTTCATATGAAAGATCTAGAGATCCAGGACTACCAGGAGAGTGGGGCTACATTGAGCCGAGGTGAGAGGACATTCTTTGAGATGTTGTCTGGGGAATGGTACAGATAATCAAATGTGTCTCAGAAAAGGGGAGACTCATTTGCATTAGAGGGTGGGTGCTGGGTACTTACCTAAACTGGAGACTTGATGCTTGGTGACACTTCTCTTTGCCTCGAGTACCTGGCTGGTGCCCAACTGGCCAATAGAAGCTGGAACCGAGTCCAGACATGCCTTAGGCAATGGCAAGGAAAGACTTTGGAAAGGGGCCAATAGCTATACAAAATTGTATGAGGGTCAACATGAACTTGGGACTTTAAGAAGCTGCATAGCTCCAACTTCAAAATAAGAATTCAGTTTGACCTTTGTCTTTGTGTTGGGAAAATCTCCTAGAGCACATGCTGCCACCGAACGTGTCATTTGTTACTAATCACCTTCTTGTCCTCCTGTTTGCCCACATACTCTAATCCCTTCTCCCACTGGACTAGGTACCTCTGCGTAGTGCGTCTTTGTGCTCTTTTCCAAGAAATCCTGGGCTCTGTTTCCTTTCCATCTCACAGGTAGGAAGCTCGTCTTAAGACTCATTTATTTCCCGTATCCCTTCTTATTACAGGTCGGTTGAAAACAGAACCATTTGAAGAAAATTCCTTCTTGGAACAATTTATGGTAGAGGTAGAGTATTTGTTATTTCCTTTCTCCTTGTGCAATTTTGCTTTACTTCCTCTTGCCAGGTGCCCAAGTGGTGACTTGTGTTTGGGTGTTAGGTTGCTTACATGGTTAGAAAGCCCTTTCTCTGAAAAAGTTGTCTGTAGAGAGTCTGATAAAGCTTGAGATGTACATGGGAAAGACCGGGGAAAGTAGGGGGAAGAACGTAAAAGGCGAAAGTGGGCTGATGAACATTTGTAAAACATCTCTATTAAAGTACCTAGGAATTTCACTTGGAATTCTCCAACCTTGGAAAGCTTGGTTGACCAGTTGCTAAATTTTTGCTTGTCGAGATCTGATCACAGGTCTGGACTGTGAAATGGAAGCGAGTCATTATTTCTTGTCCAGGCCCATTCAACATCCCACAGTAGAGGAAGGTGAAAAGCGCAGGGCTACCATCTGGGGACTGTCTTGTGGGCACAGCAGGCTGTGGAAAATCACAGTGTTTACACAAGGGGACTGGCAAAGGGATGAATGGGGAGTAGATAATTGTGGCCTGTCAGAAGCTCCTGCCTAGGTTTCCCTTCTAAGGATTGAGAATGGCCAAAAGAAACATCTATTAAATACCAAACAGAGGGAGTATTAATAATAGTGACCTTTGATAATACCAGTCAATATTGATCTTCTCCTTCTCTAACTCTTCTGGGACTTGTTGGTTGTACAGTTAGTACCTTAGTATTATTACCTTATTTTCTAATTATACATGTTACCCAAGTTGGAACTTTATTATGTAAGTAAATAATGATATGATAATATTGCTATGTATAGATTATTCATATTTCTATCTTGTCTTCTAGGCTAATTTGTAAGCTCCTTGTGGATAGGGGCTCATATAACTCATATTTTTCTTGAACTTGGAATTAGTGCTTTTCACAGGACTAGGCAGAAAGCAGGTGTTCTTGAGTTGGAACCTTCTGTTCTGCTTCTGTGCGTTGACTGAGCGATGACTCCATAATGCTTGGGGTTTTAACACTAAGGACAGAAAATGTGAGTTGAGTGCTCAGTCCATCTGTTGAAGCAATTGTAACTCTGGAGAAGAAGGAAAGCAGGTGTTGTTAAGTCCTGAAGCAGACTAGGTTTCAAGTCCTTATGGAGAAAGACCATTAAACCTAGACTTGTAATAGGGAACAATTTCCTAGGCCATTTTTCTCAGTTAGCTTCCTCTGTCTATAAGTTTGGCTAAGGAGGTAACATAGGCTGGCTATGACATAGTAGTTCCCTGCCTCAGCCCCTTAGTTAAGTGCAAGGCTTATTTTTGGTTTAGCAGAGGGGTCCTTTCCTGATCTAGTGCCTACATACCTATCCTTGGTTTATTGACATTTTTCTTTATGTACTTTATGCGTCAACCATGTAGAATGACTTTAATCACCGAAAACGCTTTTATTCTAGACCTTATGTCTGTGTATACATTTTCCCTTTTATCTAGAATGCCCAAATGTCCTGGCTGTATTTACCTTGTAAACTTCTATTAATCTTCTAAGTGTCAGCTTCAGCTTCTTTGGAAGACCTTTCAGGACTCTCCTTGTAAAGACACTACTCTTTCCCTGCCACTGTATTACCTTGGTTCGTACCTCTATTTCCCCACTTATCACTTTGTATGTATTAGTTTGTATATCTGCAAGACTGTCTATCCCCTCCATTGCTCTATGGACTACTTGAGGGCAAGGACTGTGTTGAATCCATTCCTATATCCCCACACTGAACAAAGTACCTAGAACTAGTAGGTTCTCCAATAAACATGTAGGTGAATATGTTGATAAGTCTGTGCCAGGCGGATTTTATGAAAATTGTGGCAGTGTCGCCTGTGGATACAGTGTTGCTTGTTAGACCTAGATTTGGGGTCTTCAGTTATACTCCTGGTTCGTTTTGCAGCATTGGATAAATCACTTTTCTCAGAGCCTCTATTTTCTCATTATTAGAGGCTCATCTCTTCCCTGTTATTGGGGCAGGGGGAATGTGAAAGCATATAGAATCCAGGTGTTAGTCCGGGAAAGATTTGTGTTTTGGAACCAACTACTTCAAGAATACTGGCTCTCTAGGTTCTGGGTGGATCACATCCAAACCACATAGACTTGTAGAATTTTATTACATCTGGAAAGGATCTGAGAGATAGGTAGTTGTGGCTTTCCATTTCATAGATTAAGAAATTGGGCCTCAGGTTAAGTGACTTGCCTAAGGTCATATAGCTGTAGCTATATGTTTAGGACCTCCTACATTTTTTGTCTAGGATTATCCCTATATTGTTTGGTTGTACACACCAATTAGAGGAGAGTTAAGGGCTAGGATAATGTGAAATTCTTGTGACCTCTGGGATTACTGAATGTCCTGCATAGCTGCTAGAACTGAAAGGTTTCCTAACGGGATTGCAGAATTTCTTATGGCTGCTGCGTCGTTTCAGTTACTCTGCTTGCCTGGGGTCTTACAAACAGGACACAGAAGGGTCATGGGGTCACTCCAGACTGAGTTGAAAGGATGTGCCATCAAAATAAGCAACATAGGAAGATAAACAAACCTTGGACAGAGAGCTCGGGATGAAGGTGCAGGCGGGCCAGGACTGATGTCAGAGGACCATGCGGTCAAGTGCGTAGCGTCTGTTGTTCCTAGTTCTCACAGGGACTATTGCGAGGCAAGAGGCCATAGAGGTAGGGCAGGGGGCAGTAGGACAGGGAGGTTTCTAGGATACTAAGGCCAGGAGAAATACGGAAGGATTGAGTAGGGGTTACTTCTCCATATTTAGTTCTTTCTTTCCCCTTTCCCCTAGGAGTTCTGATTTCTCTAAGGTAGGGCCAGTTGATGGTGGCCTAACCGGAGGGGGAATACTGGCAATGCGGATACAAGTCAGCTGGGTGGGGTGGCTGCTGGCGTGATCCTCACAGAGAGCGAGAGCCCCATATAGAGCACTTCCTAGGACTAGAGGCTGAAAGACACCTTCAGCAGTGGACAGGGAGTCAAGGAATTGGGGACTATTACTGCATGGCAGTAGGAACTATGTTAAAGGGAAACTTTAGAAGGATTGGGCTGGCACAGCCCACTCTCAGTCTAGTCCACTGGAGGGAGTTTCTTCTCCTGGCCCCGTCCATGCCTCTCTCTCTCCATCTGGTTGCCATCAGGCTGTGCGGCTGCTGGCGGGGCTCTTTATTTATTTATCCCAGTGTAATGGGGTGAGGAGGGAGCTGGCCTAAGGCTGGCATTCCAAGGCCAGGCCACTGAGCCACAGGCGGTTTGCATGGGTGTGTGAGTCACTGGGGCTGCATGCTGCTCAAACCAGACTCGGCCAGGCTCGGGGACAGAGGCAGCCCAAAATAGAGCCCCGCCCTCTGCAGCTGGCAACCCCTGGCTAGGCATCAGCCCTTGACACCAGAACCTGGGCAGTTGCATGAGGTTGGCTTCCTTAGGGTGGGGGCCTTCACAGAGATAGAGATTTCTTCTTCTCTACCTTCAGAGGCTAGTATTCAGCCTAGCAGTCACTCCTGCTGCATTCTGAATGCCTTGGAAGACCTAATCTGTTCAGTATACTACTTTAACCAAGTTCTATTATATAGTTTTAGTTATGTAACTCCAGTTACCATTGATTTCACTCAGCATCCTAAATGACATGGCCTTTGTGTCCTGTGTAGTTTTTTTAGTCACTAACTTCATCCCCTGTCTGGTTGCACCGATTCTAGAGGAGATGCTCAAGCTATGAAGATAGCCATTGCTGCTCTTAGGACACTAGAGGTTAGAGCAAAGACACCTGGGGAAAATCAGGAGCCCCTCAATCTGAAAGTTGTTGTCCTATTGGGTTCATTCACAGACAACTTCTACTTGGTTTCCTTGGCTGGCTTTCCCTAGGATTGTGTCCCAGATCCTCTCACGCTTCACTGTCTTTCTGAGTTATTGCACTTAGACCCCCGTTTCAGCTATCATTGGTACACCACTGAGCACCAAGTTTGTATCTCCACTGTGTTTCAGGCCCATATTTCTTCCTGCCTATTTGACATTTCCCCCTGGATGTCCCACATGCAGCATGTTTAAAATGAATAATCTACTCCCTTAAACCTACTGGGTTGTCGGAAAAGCTGTGACGCATTTTTGCAACGAAAAACATAGAAAAAATACATCGTGACTTTTCCGGCAGCCCAGTATTTCTCCTCTTGTATACCTTAATGTGGGGAATTATACCATTATCCATTCAATTTTCTAAGCTAGTCACTTACCCACTTTTCTCTTTGTCCATATTTCCAGAGCCTAACTTGTCAACTGTCTTTTGAATCTGCTGTTTTTCTGTATTCCAGCTTCCATTGCCTTAGATTCTCCACACCCTGCTCCATTTTTGGTTTGACCGTGTATCAGCCTCCTAACCTGTCTCCTATCAATACTGATTCCCCTCCGGCTGAACTCGCAGTTATGTCAGAGTGATCTCATTGAAACAGAAACCTGATTATGTCACTAGAGAGTGACATAGTGCTTAAAGTCCTTTAGTGGCTCTCAGTTGCCTGTAGGGTAAAGTTCAAAACTCTACCTGCCACACAAGATCATTCACGATCTGTTCCTGCTGACCTGATCCTTCAGCCTGATCCTCTGTCACTCGCCCATAGCACCCCACGATTTCATCATACTGAAGTATTATTGACAGCTTCCTGCCCATATATCTCTTTGACCCATTTGCCTGGTACTCTCTCTTGTCCTCACAACAGACTTTTATTCTACTTTCCCAGCTCTGCTCAGCCGCCATCTCTTTTGTGAGTTCACTATGATGGTTTTTCCTTTCCTTAGCCCGCTCTCCTTCTTCCAAGCTTAGGTACAGTCCCCTGTACCTCCTCTGCCACTCTGGTCTGAGCCACTGTTGTCTCTTTCCTGCATTTTTACAGTAGCCTCCTTACTGGTATCCCTGCTGCTACCCCTGCTCTCTTCTGGCCCATTACCAACAAAGTGATCTTATTAAAACACAAATCACATCATGTTACTCTCTACATATTGCTACCCTC